GCCACTATCAAGAATGTTCAACTGAATGAATTTTCGTGGCAGAAGTGTTGTTTACTAAATTTGAGAGGATGAAAAAAGTATTTTGCGCGAAAACCGGATTCGCGGGTACAGAGGATTCATTCGTTTGGGGGAGAGTTAGGAAACCCTGATACTGAGCCGAAGGGGCATATAGGTTTCATTATCCTAAGGGAACGACTGGAGTATGAATCTACCATTGGTTACTAGCTAACATGAGACTGCATTTTCCAACATCAATCCACAACTTTGTGGATTAAACTCGTAAATCATAGGCTCAGTGAGTGGTCTCCCCTAAGAAGACCATCTTCGGTTTGGGTAACTGTCGAGGTAGAAAGTGGTTAGGGATACGTAATACAAATTTCTCAATAGTGGCATTAGTAAAAGTATCATTAAGTATAAGCTAAATGAATCAATCAGAAACTACCTCATGAATAAAAAAAAGTAAAAGTCCATTTTTATGTACATAACTGTAACACTAGCCTAGTATATACATTACCATAGTTGACTGTTATACTGAAATAGATATTTTCTTGTATATAAACGAACTTATCATGAAAAATACTTCTACAGGATAAACCACAGCTTATCACAAATGCACAGCATAGAGTGGACAACTAGGATACAGATGCACAATTTAGACTTCGCAAATGATCTAGCTCTTCTATCCCACACGCAACAACGAATGTAAGAAAAGACGACCTGTTTAGCAGCAGTAGGTCTCAACATACATGAACGGAAAAGTAAGATTTAACGATACAACATATCATGCACCAACCTAATCACACTTGACGAAGAAACTTTGGAGGATGTAAAAACCTTCACATATCTGGGTAGCCTTATTGATGAGCAAGGTGAATCTGATGTAGATATGTGAAGGTGCGGATCGGCAACACAAAGGCATCACTTCTACAAATGTAGAACAACTAGAACTAAAAACAACTGTCAACCAACACCAAGGTCAGAATTTTCAATACAAACGTCAAAACCGACCTATTGTATGTTTTTTTTCAATCAGAGGTGTGGAGAACAGTTTCTACACATTGAAATCATCAATCAATCATTGTTAGACCACCTTTAGAAACCTGGGAACACTGAAAGACAGACGCTTCGTTTTGGTATGGAACTCATCAACAGTACGCACACACGACTCCTGCAACTCGCAGGATTCGAACCCAGGACCTTCGGTCTTGCAGGTAAATGCCTAACCACTGTACCATTAAGCCAGCTTCCAGCGGTGTTCATATCTAACTCTAATCAATCTAGGGATTTTGTGCGACCACACGCATTTGTCTTCGGCAGTTATTGCCTACACCGGACAAGACTGAACTCTACTGGTCACATACTAAGCTTCATTACAAACATAGATATGACTAGTGAATGAACTATATACATATATATATATATATATATATATCAAGCGTTATATCTGGAGCTAACATATTTTGACAAACTTGCCCACAATAATAATAATAATAATAATAATAATAATTATTATTATTATTATTATTATTATTATTATTAGTAGTAATTACTCAGTAAATACATAATTATTGAGACAAAAGAGCATCTAAATATCTATACAACACACAAATCAATGGGGTTTGTGTGTACTGACTGGGGGGGATACTAGCCAGCTGTTCATACTGAGATAGGTGGCATTTTTAGGAGGCTACTTGCCAAGCCCTTGACCTACAGGTCTAATCCACAAGCCACTGGATCGACGTCAAGAGATGCAATCCTGTGATATTCGACGACTAATATGTAAGCTCATAGGATATTTTTCCCTTCAGAATCCTGGAGCACATGTGTACCATTGGATTAGGAATCAGGGCTTTTATGACTCCTCATCTGGGTTCATAGATCCTCTATAAACATTAACTCGGATTTAAGCGCCTGAAATTCGCATTTCGTCCTCTGAATTTGGTAGACAACAACCGCGTCACAAAAAAGAAGTGAGTAGGACTTCCTTGGTAGCGTCAATGTAGCCTTCGGACAGGAAAAGAAGATTCCCTTCCATTCTCGCCCATAACAAAGTATTTTATTTAGAGGTCTGTTATACTTCTCTCTTAGTAAACCCCAACTATTCCTATTGCTTCGTATTCTCTGACAACAATACACTCAATAAGTCCCCAAATAATAAAACGGTTGAACAGGTAAAAGATTATCATCCAAATAGCAAGGTTAAATAGAAGTAAGAAGCCGAAGTGAAGGTGAAATAGAAACAACGTTAGTATCTTTACAGTTTCTACATGAGAAGTTTCTGGAATGTATTCCAAGTATCGACTAGCTCTAATCGGATTAGATTTAGCCAATCAGAGAGCAGCTAACGCAGTCATACTTTAATCTATCTATGTCCCGCTAATGAGGTCACAGTTTACTCTCCAGTGACATGAACAGTAATCACTTACTAAACATACTTCATACATCATATTATATTGTAAAGCTAATGACTGATACAATACAACTATTGAAAACACTGACTACCACCAGTCAATAAGTCATAAGATTGGACACATTTTGTCATGAATAATATGATTAGTTTGAATAAAAGTATTCGTGTAAAGTACTATTATTGTTATTATTATTATTATTATTCGTGATCATAAGGAAAAAGTGAAGATGGTTTATATTTTGGTCAAATTATAACTTGTAATCACATCACATGATCAAAGTTGATTCTGACAAGATTTGTCTAAACAGGCACAATACAACAGTATGATTTCATAAATTTATACATACACACACACATACACAAAAAGATTAACATATGAGAGAAGAAAAACTTTAGTGTTCAGCGTAACTGCATGTCAAAAACGTCAAAAGACTGATTTATTGTTTAAAATTAATCGGTAAATAAAATTAGATAAGGAGTAGTTTTGACGATGTGGGAGGATGATTGCAGTGCCCAAAGAACAACTAGATGACGATGGTTAAGTACAGACTTATTACAAGAGGTGTTTGATATGTTAGCATTGTCAGTCAGTTAGTCAGTTACAACGTAGAACTTCGTACGTATGTACATCAGTACACGTTGTCATACCGTATTAGCACAGAGACGCATTGCACTTCTAAGGCCTAATCGACAACAACAGAAATCTATACAGTAAGGCAAGTTAGACAATTTTTAAACTGACCCGCCTAGTCGGTGTGGAACCTAAAGTAACAAATGATCCAGCCATTACGATAAGGAAACCTAACCATCAAGTCAAGATAGTAGCTGCGGCCGGGAATTAGAAAATATCATTGAACCAAAAACTATAATACATACACATACAAGTACTTCTGATTGTTTTTAAAAAACAAAATTTAAACCAAATCCGATCGTTTTTGTCAACTCTAAGAACAAGATAAAACTAGATTTCATAAACTACCTGATAATCAACAAATAAGAATTAGACTGTACGCACCAAAGCTCAAGTAATTTACTAAAGTTAATTAAGTGACAACTTTTCAGTGGACACTGAGACAGAAGTAAACAAACATATCTGTGAGACAACTGATGAAATTTACAATATACTAGACAACTGTTTCCTCCTCGTCTACGACTCCTCAGCAGTGCACATTTACGACCTAACTGGAGATCGAACCAAAGAATTTCAGGTCAATAATAATTGTAAGCACAATATATTTGATCCCTGATCTTTTCGATTACAGTTAATACTGATACACCTTCTACTACTATGAGATTTGAACTGACAAGTTCATCTCTGTGTGCTAGCTAACGTGGTATTCTAACTTGAACGGATGTACATACGTGCCAAATTCTACCTTGCAGCTAACTGACTGACTGATATGCAGAATCACGATAAATTACGAAAGTTGATTCCCGGAGTCCTAATTGAGTTGTCATGATAAATGGAGTTCAAAGCTGTTAGATATGAGAACATTTTCACCAACAATCGCCTCAAATGATAACTGTATAATATTCTATCAACATGGGAATAAAAACTATTTGACCCTACTCAGCAAAAATGAAAGTGAGACGCTAGATTATAAACACAGTTTTTACGGACGGATCCGCTGATGAAAAGCACAACAGATTAAAATGTCAGCGTCTTTCTAGGACTAATGTAAGACATTTAACAATGAAGAACACAGTACATTACAGTATAGAACGTACATATCAGTTGAAGTTGTCATAGCACAGAGACGCAACGGTCAATTCAAATCCCATAGTGTTAGATGCAGTAGAAGTATTAGTAGTAATTAAAAAGATAAGGAATCAAAGATATTATTCAAGAAGTATAACTCAGTGAAATAAATTTGAAAAGAGAGAAAGGTGATGAGGAATTAAGAAGATTACAATTAGAGAGAAAACGAAGAGTGGATGCACCTGCGCCATTAAAAAATGATTTTGAGCTATGTCATTCAAGGTCTCTAACCATCAGTTACTTTTGTCTCGTCTACTGAAATGGCTCAGTTCGGTTGTCTGTCAGTCAATTCATGTTTTGGCTTGGCCGCCTTTAGCTTTATTCCAACCTATTCCTATATCTCAAAATATAGCTCGACGAGGCAGTCGGTGGTTAGGCATACGCAATACATATCCCAACTAACTCAACTAATGAAGATTCAGTACCCTATCAATTGATTTGCCATCCTTACCTAGTACTCGTTTTCTAACAACTGCATCGCTTACACTCGGTTGTCCCAGGATATACGAACAATGCATTGAAGAAAACGATGATCGGATACTAGTAACCTCCGAATATCATTTACTCATACTGGCCATGTTTCATAGTCATAAAATAGGACGGAGCGAACTGCTGCGCAGTAAACTCGTCCTTTGTTTAGTAGATGATATCTCGGTTATGTCATAAATGATACAAGTTGACAAAAACCAGTCGAACTTTCTGTATCTGTGCTGAGATTTCGACAGACACCAGGGACTCAAGATTGATGAGACTCCCCAGACGTATTGATATATACATATATATATATATATATATATATATCAAATAAAATATGTCTATCAATTAACTTACCGATTCTGAACGATGTGATCGTAAACCTGAGCATAAAGCACGAAATTGTGATCGTTTCGTTGTTGGATTCATAACATTTTGATCACGATTCGATTCTGTACTATGTGAACTGGAAATAAACAAATCAATTCACAATTTAAAAATAACGCAACATTTTATTATTATTATCATTATTTTTCATTACAATCTATATTGAATATTAGATGAAGTATAGGATTACAGAATTCATATATAAAAAGCGGCATAAATACCTAAATAAATGCAGGATACGCGCATAAAATGCATGTACTTTAGAATCCCATAAAAAAACCGAGTTATCATGAATGTAACATCAACTTTATGAAAAAAAGCTTAAGCCAAAATTAGATACATCTTCGAGGGTTCTTTTCTACACTTGAATTCTGTTATATTCAAGTTAACAGTTAGATTTATTGATTTTTAATGAATGACAAACAGTTTGTAATTTATGGACCACGTAATAATCTATATAACTAAAGAATGGAAATAATCCAAAAAAATTTATAAGTCGGCCTAATAGCCAAGAGGTTAGGAGATCACCAATGAGACAAGAGTTCGAATCCTGCTTCCATGGGGGTGTGGATGTGCACTGTGTTAAGCATGCACGTAAACACGTCATTTAATATGCTTGGACTATTACGAGTTCACCTTAGTCGGAAAACGAGAGCGAGAATCGAAAATCAGGTGACAAGACATGCTACTCTAATCCGATTGTTCCAATCCTCATTGAGTTAAACGAAGAAGACCTGATAGGAAATAGAACTTGTATTCTACAAGCATCCAGAAAGCACGAGGTCGGAGTCCAGAAGAGAAATGGGATCCCGGACTAGGGACCCGGTGCGGGTCATAAAACGTTACAGATAATACGTATTTATACATTTCGGTCGAATAGGAAAACAACATTTGAAGTGACATTGGATAGTTAGGACCACTAATAGGAACTGGCCAATAGAAATTAGAGTTAAAAACAATTATCATAGGATATTGGATGAATATCCTAACAACTGCGAATGAGATGTATCATATACTAGTCCAGTGCTTCCAGGTTTACAATGGTGGTTGTGGTGGCAGTGGTCTAACATTGATCAGTTCATGATTTCAATAAAGTTTAAAAGTACTGGTTATGTCATGAGTTGAAATTAAAATATCACAGCTTACAACTAATTTGTCATAAGAAGTAAATTATTCACTGGAAAAAAAATAGTCAATCAACCTGAAACGATCACGTTTAGACTGTGATAAAATATAATTTAGTCGACTAAAGCAAATCGGAAATCACTGCTGGAATAATAATAATAATAATAATAATAATAATTAAGTGTGACACTAAATCATGTGGTATGTATACACATTCATGTAATTGCATTTATGATTACGTAATGAATAATGAAATAAATAACTTAGATACCGAGTATTTTAATAGTTTTCTATTGGATTATAGTCCATATTTCATGAAACTCAGCCCTTCTAGGGTTACTGCCGGTGTCCCAAGCCCGGAAAAAGCAGAAGGGTTGGAAAAATGGAGTTAGCGATCACATCCCGTAGAAATTCCTACTCGCTAAAAAAGACACTAACCAGAAAAAAACTGATTCACTGATCGCTGGCCTATACTACATTAGGGGTAACAGGTGTAAGTCATATTCCATAAGTGTTGGGGATGTTAGATCCACAAAACTCGCTTGATAAATGCTTTATTTTGGTTTTCACGTTTGCCAGCATGGGCTGATCAGTTGATCTTGAGATTTCGATTCCCACCAGGAAAATCCATGACTGTGATTGCTGGGTGTTTGTAGAATATACTTTCTACGCTTACAAAGCCTTCTTACTTTACTTTGGGATTCAAGGTAGCCTACCTGGACGCTGGTAAAAGTCTCGTTCGCGTTTATCGACTAAGGTAAACTCGTAATAGCCTCAAGCATACTTAGTGACGAACATAATAAGAACCTATTAACTAGCGTCTTAAAAGGCAACTAATAGTAGTATTCATTAAATCTGATTGTTATAAGATCTGCGTGGATTGTGAAACTATAAAGATAAGTGTGTATCGTGTTTTGATCGGGTAGTCGTTGCTACAAACAAATTACTATTGAATTTATTTATATAACAAATACCATCAGCTTTTCAGTGAAATGGATAAAAAGATTGAATGTTTTTATTTGTGTGCAATAATGTTTAGCGTATTGAAATTCAAGTACACTTCGGTTTCAATTATAATGAGAAAAAGCGACTACTGAACATCGTTATTTTATCTGTGTGCATTCTACCACAAATAGCGGCCGAGAATGAGGGTCCTCTCTGTGATCCCCAAATGCGCTTCTATCGCCACGCGCGTACAGCTACTGACAAAGAAGTCCTACACACTATACTTTTGACGCACTGTTGCTCACAAGATGGGTAGGGCGAAAAGCAAGTGTTCAACCAGGTTTTAAACCGAGTCGGTTGATACGGTGGACCAATCTAGGGAGTTGGAAAAACCTCACTTCAAACCAATGATGAACATGGGATTTAGGATCCTGAAGTAACAACTGGTGCATGAACCTACTGTTTATCACCTGGCTACCATAGGATTGTATCTAAGAACGTTGCCCCACTGGTTTGTAGGGATAGACTTCTGGGTCAAAAGTTTGGTGAGTGACCACCTGCTTCGGTTTGAGCAGCTGGGCAGTACTCAATCACACATTCAAATTCAATAATTTGTATTGCGAATACATATTTAGGTGCATCTTTGTAACGATGTTTGTGTTTAAATAAATAAAATCATGTAATACAGTGAACTCGTTACTTTATATTAAACAAATAGTTCGCCTCTGTTATACAGGCCCTACTGGAAACTATCAAGGCAAAAATAAAGAGGAATACAAAAAGAACATATTGCACAGAGACAGATTTAGAAAAAATAGCGATTAGAAACAACTGGAAAAGAGAGCTGAGGACTGAGTAGGTTGTAAATGGATGTTCAGAGGTCTGTGCTCCATGTAAGTAGTGAGAAAGTGCGTAATGCTGTCTAACGCATATATTTTCATGTATTTTTGTTAAATTCAATGTATCATATTACAAAATTTGTATCGTTAAGTTAAACAAAGAGTATATTATTTATCATTCGAAATACACTGATATCATTTGTATCGATCATGCCAGAGTATCAAAATAAGGTCAGTGAACTTAAAGCTAAGACACTAGTTAATTATAAAAAAAAATAATGAATCAATGTCTAATCACCACTATGTAGCACACATTTTCAGTTGTTTTTTTCTAATTTGAACAAATGACAAACAAAGCACATTTATTTTGTACAAGAACTTATAATGTCAGTCAGTTACAACGTACAACTTCGTACGTAAGTACGTCAGTTCAAGTTGTTATAACGCATCAGCACACAGACGCAACTGTCAGTTCAAATCCAAGAGTCATAGCGATAGTAGAAGTATTAGCAGTAATGGAGAATATCAGGGTCCGAAGATATGATTCGAGAAGTATAATTCAGTGAGATAAATTTAGAAAGCGAAAGATAGAAATGATGAGGAATACAGAAGGTTAGAATTTGAGGGAACACAATGAATGAATGCACCTGCGCCATTGCAAACGATTTTGAGCCATGTCGTTCAAGGTCTCTAGCCATTGGTGACGTTCGTCTCGCGGACCCCAACCAGGTAGTCTACACTGACCAACATGATTCAGTCCACTTGTTAGTGTAAACTTATAATGACTTGATTAGTTAATGACGACAACCGATTATCAATTAGGATATCATTTTGCAAAATGGTGCGAAAAAATCAATCAGATGGAAAAATCGACTGAATATGTAAACAGTGGTTGTAAAATAAGATAACGATCGAAAAACGTTTTTCAAAAAAAACCAGCGGTTATTAAGAAAAAAAGTAGTGATGTAAATTGAATTGGACAGTGGTTAGTAGTTGAACCAAGAACGCGCGTTTTGGCCTTTTTTTATAAACTCTAGCTGGATGTACCTGCATCCGAGAGCTCCCGGACTTTGACATAGCACTGTCTGCATAGAATGCACATATGCCCATAACAACACTGGTCAACATCAGACAGAAGATTCAAACAAACAATACGCATAAAACTGACAGCAGTTAACGAAAGTAGTCCACTGTATTGAGTAAAGTCCGTCAGTCAGTCAGTTACAACGTAGAACTTTGTACGTGAGCACACAAGTGCAGGTTGCCATACCACATTAGCACAGCGACGAAACTGTCAGTTCAAATCACATAGTGGTAGCGATAGTAGAAGTATTAGCAGTAATCGGAGAAATTAGGGTTCAACGATATTATTCAAGAAGTATAATTCAGTGAGACAAATTTCGAAAGATAAAGATTGTGAGGAATTCAGAAGGCTGGAATTTGAGGAGAACACAAAGAATGAATGCACCTAGGTCATTAAAAACGATTTTGAGTCACTTCGTTCATGATCTCTAACCATAAGTTAGTATTGTCTCACACACCCGAACCACATAGTCTACACTTACCAACATGACTCAGTCTACTTGTCAGTGATTTCTGCCATGTTCTGGTTTGGCCGCCCCTAACTTTCCTCCAACCTATTCCTACATTGCAAAACATAGCTCATCGAGGCAGTCAGTGGTTGGTCAGTCAGACAGTCAGTTTCAACGTATGTACAGAAATTCATGTTGCCATACCACATTATTAGCACAGAGACGCAAATGTCAAATCAAATCCCATAGTGATAAAGATAGTAGACGTATTGATGGTAAAGAAGACTAGGGTTTGAGGATAGTATTCAAGAAATATAATTCAGTGAGAGGGGGTGAGAAAGACAAAGGCAGAGGTGCTGACGATTCCAGAAGATTGGTATTTGCGAGAGCTCAAAGAATGGATGCACATGCGCCATTGCAAACGATTTTGAGCCATGTCGTTCAAGGTCTCTAACCATTGGTGACTGTCGTCTCGCGGACCCCAACCAGGTAGTCTACATCTACCAACATGACTCAGTCCACTTGTCAGTGACTTCATGGATTTGTGCCATGTTTTGGTCTGGCCGCCCCTAGCTTTCTTCCAACCTACTCCTACACCACAAAACATAGCTCGTCGAGGCAGTCGGTGGTTAGGCATTCGTAACACATGTCCCAACCACCTCAACTGATGAAGTTTCAATACTTCATCTATTGATTTGCCATCCTTACCTAGTACTCGTTTCCTAACGACAGCATTGCTTACTCGGTTGTCCCACGATATACGAGCAATGTTTCTTAAACATCTATGATCGAATACTAGTAACCTACGAACATCTACTCTTAACGGCCATGTTTCACAGCCATATAGGAGAACGGAACGAACTGCTGCGCAGTACACTCGTCCTTTGGTTAGCGAACGGATATCACGCCTACGCCATAAGTGATGCAGGTTGGCAAAAGCCAATCGAGCTTTCTGTATCCGCATTGAGATATCGTCAGTCACCAGGCTATCAGCGCTGATGAGACTCCACAGATAGTCATACGTAACACATGTCCTAACGACCTCAACTGATGGATGTCTTGAGTAAATGTTGACCATGGGGCTTACATCATTAGAAATGTTTATTTCATTTCATTTTTATACCATAAATTGTTTGACATTAGAAAATCTAACTTCATTGTAGATGGTGATTATATTTTCAACTACAATGACTATATAATAATTGTTCTAAACTAATTTTTCACATTTATTGACATGTTCTAATGTGAAACAGATGAAACACACCCTTCTTTTCTAGTGTATTACTAATTTCTAAAAAAAAAAAATAAACGCTTATAATTTACAACATAAGCATTAGTTTAAACAACTTTCTTTACACAACAATGAAAGTTCGATAATATAAGAGTAAAAAAGAAAAAAACCAAGTTTTGTGCTTGATATGAGATGATAATAAGTAGTATATTAGAAATCATGTGATACATAATTAGAAAAATATAGTTTGAGTAATAATCTGATCATAAGACATTTTTACACTTGATAATATAATACGATTACAGTGTTTAATGTAAGCTACAAGGCGGTTTGAGCAATTGCAAAGCTAAAAAACAATTTCTCTGAAAAATCTCGGGATTCAACTGTCAATAAATTTCGTTAAGATCAGTTTCATCGCCTTACTTTAACTATGTGGATAAAGATAGGTGTTTGGCATATGTGGTTATGAGGTTATTGGAATTTACGTTGTCAATGTTCTTTCATAAAAAAACACGATTATTGGTACGAGAGAGCACCACAGAACACAAATTGGTCGTGTTGATAAGATACTTTCCAGGGCACTAAACTGAAGAACGTGGTTTTCATAGGAGGCGCCACTCACCGAGCCATTGATATAGAGTTCTAGTTCACAAGAGCAGTGGGGAAACGATAGATGTGGTTTTTATGGTAGCCAGTGACCGACATGGGCCTAAAGGCCATTTGTTCTATCTGGATTAGGTGCCCATGTGCACCATTGGTTAGAATGAGGG